TCTGGGGCCAGTGACACCCCACCACGCCCCCCCATCACCCCCCTGTGTCACCCTTGCAGCATCCTCGGGCACCCCAGGGGTGTCACATCCCACATGTCCCCCCCAAGTCCCCCCGCACTCCCGTCCTGCTGGCCCTGCTGATGGGCACCCCGCGTTTCCATGTCCCGCTGTCCCCGTGTCCCCCCGACCCCACTGATGGGTGCTCGCGTCCCCCTGTCCTACTATCACCATGTCCCCATGTCCCCTCATCCCCACTGACTGGCACCCGCATCCCCACATCCCACTGTCACTGTGTCCCTATGTCCCCTTGTCCCCGCTGACAGGTACCCCCAGCCCCATGTCCCACCACCCTGTGTCCCTGTGTCCCCCTGTCCCTGCTGATGGGTGTCCCTGGCCCCACATCCTGCTGTCACCATGTCCCCATGTCCCCCCATCCCCACTGACGGGTGTCCCCAGCCCCACGTCCCACTGTCATTGTGTCCCCGTGTCCCTGTGTCCCCCTGTCCCTGCTGACGGGTGCCCGTGTCCCCACATCCTGGTGTCCCTGTGTCCCCGTGTCCTCCCATCCCTGCTGACAGCTGCTGTGTGTCCCCACATTCCCGTGTCCCCCTGTCCCCGCTGATGGGCGCCCCGTGCACACCCCCTCCCCCCGCGAGGCAGGGGCAAGGCGGTGCCGAACCAGTACCGGTTCCTGGCCAAGCGTGGCGGGTACCTGTGGGCGCAGACCCAGGCCACCGTCATCGCCAACAGCCGCAGCGCCCAGCCCGAGGGCATCGTCTGCCTCCACTTCGTCCTCAGGTGGGCGCGGGGACGGGGTCGAGGGATGTGGTGCCCCAGCGGTTGTACCCGCTACCCGTGTGGTTGTATCTGGCCCCTGCTGTTTGTGGGGTTGTTCTCTGGTGCCTGGTGGGTTGCGCCTGGTATCTGCTGTTTGTGACCTTGTGCCTGGTGCTTTTGGGGTTGTCCCCAGCACTGGTGCAGTTGTACCTGATACCGGGTGTCTGTAAGGTTGTACCTGGTATCTGTGGAGTTGTACCAATTGTCTGGTGTCTGTAAGGTTGTAGCAGGTATCTGGCGTCTGTGGGGTTGTAGCAGGTCCCTGGTGCCTTTGGGCTTGTACCTGGTGTCCATGGGGTTGTAGGGGGTGCCTGGTGTCTGTGGGGTTGTTTTTTGTACCTGATTGTACCTGGCTGTTGAGTTGTGCCCAGAGCCCGTGAGGTTGTAGGTGCCCCGTGGTGCCTGTGGGGTTGTACCCAGCACCTGTTGGGGCCTGTACCCGGGGGCCTGCGGGCTGTGCCTGGTAGCTGGTGCCTGGTGGCAGCGGGTGGTCCTTGGAGGCCGTAGGTGGTTGTGGGTGGCCCATGGTGGCCATGGGTGCCAGTGGGAGACAGTGGCAGTGGGTGACCCCCTCCCCGCAGCAGGGCATAGCA